TTTCCTCCATCTTAGAACTTCTGACCCCCATGCACAAAGTAAAACCCCCCTGTACAGGTGCTAAAACCTCCTTGTACAATACTAAAAAATTTTCCCCTCTACTTTGTAACTACTTCTACTATAATATCTAACCCTTTGTGACTGCTTGTTCCACTCATTCCATGGCTCAAACTCAAAATCACAGCTGTTTCAAGCTGCCTGCCAGGGTCTCAAATGCTTCTGACCAAGGTCTGGAACCTCTAAAAATGTCTGAGGGACATTTTGAGTTCCAACAATACTGATGCGCATGAACAGAAGCATGACCAGGGCAACCAAAATTTGGACCATAGAGCAGTTGTTTATTGTAAATGCAGGCGAACCCAATGGGAAGAAATGCTGATGTCTGACTCAATTCAGAAGGCTGAATGATTTCTTTATTATAACTATGCTAAAATACATTAATATACTATATAAAAGGAGGATACTCAAACTACATACTACTTTCTCTGACTCTAACTTTCACACAACTCGTGACCCTCTCTGAGAGCCCAGCCCCAGGTGGGTTGGATTGGCCATCAGGTCAAACAATCTTCACCAGAATCCAACCAAGCAACCACCCCAGGTAAACAATTCTCCAAACACATTCCACATAGGAAAAACAAGGAGCAGAATTAGAAATTGTTTTCTCTTTTATTTCTCTCTGTGCACCTCTATGAAAAATCCTGAGAGGGAGAGAAATGTGCTTGCCACAGTTGTTCTTTTTGAAACAGATCATAGAATCACAGAATATCCTGAACTGAAAGGGACCCACCAGGATCATCCAGCCCCTGTACCCTGTCCCTGCCCAGACCCCCCAAAATCCCACCCTGGGCATCCCTGGCAGCGCTGGCCAAAGGCTCCTGGAGCTCTGGCAGCCTCGGGGCCGTGCCCATTCCCTGGGCAGCCTGGGCAGTGCCAGCACCTCTGGGGGAAGAACCTTTCCTGCTCTCCAGCCTGAGCCTGGCCCAGCTCCAGCCGTGCCCTTGAGTCACTGCTCATCTGAATGAAGAGACCAGTACCTGCCTCCACTTCCCCAGCTGCCTGCTGGCTATGACATTGATTTTTGCTTCTCTTTACCAAATATTTTGTTAGGAATAATTCAAGTATATCTAGAGATGATGAGATCAAGTTTAGGAGATTAAAAAATTATTTTTAAAAATATTATTAAAAAATAGAGGCTGACTTATTTTTCCTAAAGTCTTATCTATGATGCAGAAGTGAATTCCATGAGGTGCTTTAAAAGGTTCTGGAGGGAAAAGGACAAAAAATTTTGGGGAAAACCACTAGGACTGACAGGGAAAGGTGTGTCTGTAGCTTTCTGCTCCAAAGTCTCTAACCAGCTGTAGTGAGAGGACATTCCTGAGGGAGGAATTTCCTGGGTGCTGCTTGTTGCTTACCTTGCAGGCAGCAGCCCCTCCTGTTGCTGCTCTGCTGCCTGAACCAGCCCCGTCTCGCTGGGGTTGGGATTGCAGGGACTGCTGGCAGGAGCAGGGAGGTTTTGTTGGGCTGACACATTCCCTTTCCTTCCACAGACATGGAGAGTGTGAATCCCAGTTTTGTTACGGCAGCCACAAGCACCACGGAGCTCCTGGAAACGGAGCACAACGTTACTGAGGGCACCTGGGGTAAGGACTTCTGCCCCTTGGCCATGCCAAGGGCTCAGGTGTGGGGGAATTTCACAGGAACATCCCAGTTAACATGGTCTTTCCCTCCATTTCTGGAGATCTGGGGATGGCCTCATCAGTGCCTCATGCACAGGGCAGCATGTGACAGTCCCCTGAGCCTCAGCTGGCCAGGGCTGCCTCAGCACATGGGCTGGGGACTTGTGTGAAGCCAGTGAAACTCTGAGCACTGTCTGCTCTAAGATGAATCCACTGCAGGAATCTGTTCTGCTCACAGCAATCTTTGATTGCAGAAGTTCTCTGCACAGTTCTTAGCTCTTTGAGCTTCCAAAATGAGAATTTCTGATAAGAGCAAAATGTGAACACGGCTGGTGTTAATGTTCAGGGAGCTGCCCAAGATCTTTTCTCTACCAGTCTGTAGAGAGTTGGCTGGCACAGAAAACCTCTGGTGCTCTAACCCCAGATTCTCCTCTGTGATTGCAGGAACCACATCTTCTGTAACCAGCACCTGGATAGGGGAGAAGGCAGACGACTCCAACACCTCCATCCTCGTGGGCTGCCTTGTGGCTATTATTCTGCTGCTCCTGATGATTATAATCATCATTCTTTGGAAGCAATATGTTCAAAAAAGGCTGGAAAAGGTAATATCTTGTAGACACAAGTTCAGAACTAATCATTAACTCTAATGAGCTCAGAACTATGTGAAAATCACAGCTCCATGGAGTAGCTAAAGCTGCTCTCACAGCGGGGCAGGATGCCAGCCTGTCCAAGATATTACTGGAAGTTGCTGTGGTTGCAGCCAAGGCATTACTTAACAACTGAGCATCACCTCAGTGTTTTGGTTTAGTTTTTTCCCTTCTCCTCTGCAGGCCCCACGTCGAATCCTGGAGGAGGATGCCACTGTTCGCCTCTCCTTCTACAGCTACACCATTGCCAACAACCAGACCCAGATCCACCAGTCAAATCCCACCTATGAACGTGCCTTCCCACTGGATTTGGAATATCACCAGCCAGCTACACTGCTCCAAAAGCTTCCAGAGCTCTCACAAAGTGCAGAGGATTCAGGTAACATCATCAGTCTCTGGAAGCTGCATGTTTCTTCTTTTGTTATTTCTGTCAGATTGTAAAATATGCCACTTGTCAGTGTCTAAGTTGCCATCCTGGCTCCTGTGCAATGCAATAACCCAGGGAGCTCAGGCAGTATTGTGGAACACTGGCATTTCTTGGCATGGAGCTGTGACAGCTGGAGCAGCAGTCCCACTAGAGGCTGGTGGCCTTTTATTGTTTTATTTGAAGACTGTTTATTTATTACCCAGGTCACTTTTAGCAGCTGGTTTGGGCAGTCAGAGCAATCACACATTGTTTGTGGGGATGCTGCCTGCAGCACTCCTAGGAGAAGACCTTTTCCTGCAGCCAGGGCTCTTTGAAATTCCTGTAGAAAAACCACAAGGAAATAGAGCAGGGAATTGTCCGTGGTGTCCTGGCTTCCAGCCCCCGGGGAGCTTTTGGACTCACATAGAAGGGAATGTTTCCAACAGTGTTTAGTGCTGAGTGAAGGCAGTTCTCATCAGCAAATGGAAGGGCAGTGCTGCATTCCTCACACTGACAAGTTGCTAAGATCCAGCATTATTCTACACGGGGAGACTGATTGGATTGAGCCAGGGTGTGAATTTGAAGCAGAACAAGTGTTCTGTGTAATAGTGACTCTGCAGGGAGTTAATTCTAAAGCATTACCCCATATTTATGTGAATAAGCTGTAAGAGGGAGAGGAGTTTGCTACCAGGGAACATGGGAAAGGGAAGCCTCCATCAGCTCTTGTTGCAGGAGGGAATCCAGAGCAAGTTTGACGTTGCAAACAACATCCCTGCACCAGGTGATGGGAACTGATTGTACTTAGGATGAATCAGGAACAGAAAATCACTTTGGACTCGCCTCCCTGTCTGGGCAAGACCTGTAGCTCTCATGGCTGGCTAGAACAGGCTGTATTGAGCAGGAATTTGCTGGCAGCTCGCAGGGATTGTTCTGGTTAAAACAGAGCAGTGTGTCCCTGTTGGATGAAGCCCTTTTTTGACCTAGAGATGAGGCAACTGAGAGGTATTTTAAAACTTTTATTTTATTTTTAGCTTTATGTGAAGGGTGAGACAGTATAGCTGTTATAGTTCACGCTATTATAATTAAAAGGTAACTATATGCTAATTACAATACATTATAAGAGTTTTTTGGTTTATTAGCTTTTGCTACACTATGTTGTTTAAAGCCAATAATTTAAAATTACTCTATCTTTTATAGTTTTATTTCTCTAAAGTACCTAGTTTTATTTGTAAAGCTATCTTTTGAAACTTGTTTCTAGTTTTATTTCTCTTTTAATAATGTCTGTTTTATTTTATGGTATTTTTAAGTTAGTATTTTTTATTTCAAAGTTTGCATATTGCGTGAGCCTTCTGTTAGGCTTTGAGAATTCTCTACACATTTATTTCCCACACATCCCATGTAGGTGTCCCTCAGTACAAGGCAGCAGGCGGCCAAATTCCCAGAGCTGTGGGGTTGGGAGGAGTGGAAACTGGGACATACTGGGAGGCAGTGAGGCGTGACTCACCCAACTCTGCCTGCCCTCAGTGTGCAGTGGGGACTACGCTGAGCCCGACCTGACCAAGTCCACCCCTCACCAAGGCTTCCAGAACAACGTCCCCCACTACGCCGAGACCGACATCGTGCACCTGCAGGGCGTGACAGGCAACAACATGTACGCCGTGCCAGCCCTGACCGTGGACTCCCTCACCAAGAAGGACATCTCCGTCGGGGAGTTCCCCCGGCAGCAGCTGCGCCTCAAGGAGAAGCTGGGAGAAGGACAGTTTGGAGAGGTACAGCCATCCTGCTGCTGCTCCTCCAGCAGAAAGGAGGTGCCTGGCAGAGAGGAATCTTCAGTGGGACTGCATTTTCCAGGCTTTTAGTTAAAATTGAAATGTGTGTTGGCCCTCTGGGGAAAGCTGATATCCCCCAGGCTAAGCCACTGAGCCTTGTGAGGCTCTGGTCGGCACCACTGGGGTCTTCATCAACAGATGAACTTGCAAACTTTTTCTGTTTGCTGTCAATACCTGTGTAAACTCCTAGGGTTGGGAATTCAGACTTTCACATCTTCCATGGACATCTCAAATCTGATGGCTGTCACCCACCTGTAGACATGTGGGTTTGGAAATTCTCCACAGTCCAGCTAACACTGATCCCTGATCCTGGCTGCTAAAACAGCTCTCACAGTCACAGATGGAGGTTCTGGGGGTGCTCTGCACACTGACCCAAGCAAACACAGACATTTCCCAAGCACTGTGGCGCCCTCATATTTTCTGGCATTGCTGCTTGCTCAAGCCCTAGTTTGTCAGCAGCCTCAGGCAGAATGATGCACACATCTGTCATCTGCCAAACTTTCCCTTGGCTCCTTGAGCTCCTTTCAAGCTGTTGACGTTTTCACCTCGCCTTTTCTTCTCTCTCTGCTTCATTTTCACACCATCTGTAGCTCCATCCTGAGCAGGTCTTTCTCTCCCCTGCTCTCACTTTTCCACTGTCTTTTTTCTTCCCAGCCTTTGTTCACTCACAGCCCTAAATTCTGCTTCTCTATTACATTTTGATAAGTACAGCTTTTCACTGACTGCTTCCTGCTCTGTCATGTGCCCATCTTTGTGGTTGCTCCATTCTGACACCCCACCTTCCCTATCCCAGCCCCTTTCCTGTCCCCTCACTTCTTTCTTGCTCACTGTTTTCTGGGGAGGTGCTGACATCTTCAACCTCCTCACCTGGCTGTCAGTGCAGCCTTTTCTGCTGCTGCCTGCATCTTGCTCTGTGCTCCAAAAGTGGGACAGAGAGGATTTGCTCATTGATTTGCTTCTGGTTTCTCCTTTCCTCTCATTGTCCTTCTGATAACTGTAATAACTCCTCTGTATTGTCTGGAGATGGCTCTCCCATCTCCATTTTCCTTGAGGATGGATTCAGAGCCTGTTCCTTTCCGTGTATCACAGGCTCTTTTGCAAATGTACTGCACCACATTTTCCTGTCTCCCGTTCTCCTTAGTCTTTCCCCAGCTGGCCATCACATACTCTGCTCCACTACTCTGGCTCTGTGTGCTCCTAGAAACAGGGCTCATTGCTTCTTTCAGGTCTCCACTTTTCCTTCCTTCCAGTCTTTTGTCTTTGCTCCCAAGGAAGCACCACCACCCCTCCCTGGTGACAATCACCTCGGAATTACCTGTGCTTAGTCCTGTGGCTCTTCCCTGTCCCAGGTGATTGTGCTTTCCCCACAGCAGATTCATTCTCTGTGGGACTGCAGCAGCATCTTTGTGCCTTCACTCCCATTCTGCAGGTTTGCCCCATTTTCTCTGCTGTCTCATTTTTTCCCCTCACCATGCTTGTGACATCAGTTCTTGCTGCTCTTTTCATACAAAATTCATCATGCTCTCTTACATTCCCCTCACTGCTGCAAGTCTTTGACTGACACATCCAGTCTGCTCCTCTCTTCCAGTCTTGTTTCCCATCCACACCCTCAGGTCAGTCTGCATTCCTCACCCAGTTCTCCATTTGGATGCACATTCTGGTAACTTCTTAAGAAAGTGTTTTGTCACCCCTTCTTGTACAACCCTGGCAGTAATTTTGTATCATTAATCATTAATTTATTGGAAGAAATTTGGAATTGTGTGTAGTCATTAGAGTATTTATCTCTGGGTATACCTATAGGTGAGATGTTTATATCAGGGACACAATGCACACACTTTTCTCCCCTCTGGAATTTGAGGATTTTGGATAACTGGCTGTAGTTCTTGGATGCTCCTCAGTGAAGTCTGAGCAATGCCTCGAGCCAGGCCATGGTTTGATGGTTCTGGGGTTGTGTGAGATACTTTAGTGCAGAGCAGACACATGCAGACTCGGGGGCCTTCCTGAACATCCCCAGTAGGTGCTGGATGAACTGGGCTGGCCCAGGCTGCTGCAGTGTGCTGGGGACTCCCTGGCTTTGACTCACCTGGCTTTGGTCCCCGTGTGCCCCTGTGTCATGGCTATGTCAGGGTCTAGGGCCAGCCCTTGGGTCATTTCTGATCACAGCTGTGTCAACTTCACTGGGCCATTCACTGGTTCATTCTGCCAGCAGTGATGTTATTTTCCTCTGCTTTTCTGCCTGTGTGTGCTCTTACAGCTGCCTCTGCCTTCTGTCCTGCAGGTGCACCTCTGTGAAGCTGATGGCCTGCTGGAATTCCTGGGAGTCTCATCCTCAGAATTCACTCACCAGCCAGTTCTTGTGGCAGTGAAAATGCTGAGATCAGATGTCAACAAAACAGCCAGGTAAGTGCACCTGCAGTGCCAACCAGCTGGGGAGGAAAGCAAATACCCCCAGGCACAGGGTAACCCTGGGGACTGCTGTGTGTCTCTGGGGTGTCTATTCCATGTGCTCCTGGAAGGAGCAGGACACAGCAGGGAGTGGGGGGTAGGGGAAGCTGCAATGTCAGCCTGAAATGCTGCATGAATCCTGTTTGCTGGGAGAGCTCAGAACCAGTTTCACACTTGTGCATGCAAAGTGTAAATTACTCTGAACTTGGAACACAGCCCTGTGTGCTGTCCTCAGACAAAGGAACTGTTCAGGATTCAGAGGTGCTTTCTGTTTTACAAGGAATGATTTCCTGAAGGAGATCAAGATCATGTCCAGGCTGAAGAACCCGAACATCATCCGGCTGCTGGGCGTGTGCGTGCGGGACGACCCCCTGTGCATGATCACAGAGTACATGGAGAACGGGGACCTCAACCAGTTCCTGTCCCACAGGGAGATCTACAGCAAATTTGCCATTTCAAACAACATCCCCTGTGTCACGTAAGAGAAGCTGCTTGACTTGTTGGGATAAATCAGCAAAACAGAGCTGCAGTTTTATCTGCTGTGCCTGCCCAGCAGGGACCTTCCTGCAGCCTGGCCATTGCCATGGCAATGGACACCAGTTCTGCCTGGTGTGGGGTTGTTCTTGAGGGCTCTGGAGGTCTGTGTACCCCTGACAGAGCTGTTCTGGTCACAGAGACCATCTTAGATATATTTATCGAGGTGACTATCTCTTTATGTTATGGATATTTCATTGTTATGTTATAGATGTTAGTGGATATTTCATTGATATGAAAATCAGTTGCATTACAAGAATTTTGGGACAAAAATCAAGAATCTCTCTTGGGCTTTTAAGAAGGTTCATATGTTCTCTGGTGTCCAAAAAATATTGCATGAGAGGAGCCGAGTGTGGAGCTGCAAAAGGGAGAAGATTTCATCAGGCAACAGAAGGAGAATATTTGGCAAAGAAAACCAAAAAACGGTTTTAGTCAGCAGTGGCACTTGTCTTCCTCCTCAATAGAAGGATTAAATCTGCCATAAAAGCATCTCTGCTATTGCAGAATGCTTTCCCCAGAGGAGAATCATGTAGGACTAATATATTCTGTGTGATAAGGAGCCCTGCACTGAGCATGAGCTGCAGCAGTGCTGAGCCTTTGGTGTGTTCCCCCCCAAAAGGAGTACTTGGATTTGTGGTTCAGACACAAGGCAGGCAGGCAGAGCCAGCTCTGATGTGCTGGGCAGGAGGTGGCTGGGTTTTACCACAGCCAGACATCACCAGCCTTGCTGCCAGGACCTGTCAATGGTCCTGTCAGGAGTGTTAACTTGGTGTCCTACAGGCAGGACATGCAGGAGGGAGAGAGGGTTTGTGTCTGAGAAAAATTAGACTCCAGCTCTCTCCAGTCTCCTGCCCCTTCTGCCCATCTGAAACCCATTCACCTTTACACTTGTGGCTTTTTTTTCCTGGCCAAAGCCTCAAAATGTTCTTTTTTTTAATCTCCTTTTGCTTCCCATTTGACTTCAGTGCTGTCACTCACTCATGTTGCTCTTCCTTGCTCTCCATTACTTGGCTCTACCTCTAGTTTTTCATTGTCTCCCACTGATCCTTCAGCCTCTCCCTTTGTCCCTGCCAGGCAGAGAGTGTCACACAGAGACAGCTCTGAAGGGGCTGTGTCCTGGCAGTGACAGGAATGCCCCTGCCCCAGGAGCAGCTTGGCTCTGCTGGTGCCTGAGGGCACCTGATGGATGTGACAAGGTGCAGCCACCCCACCCAGCTCCATACCCAGGGTTTGGTGCACCAGAGGGGTGACCAGCCCTTCCATGCACAGGGATCACACATTCTTAAGTCCTTATGGCTCTCTGGTATTTGAAATGCATCTCCCTGCTGTCTCTGGCTGTCAGGTCACAGAATCATTTAGGTTGGAGAAGCCCTCTAAGATCATTGATGTTCTCCAGCACTGCCAAGGTCACCATGTCCCAAAAGTGCCACATCTACATGACTTCTAAATGGTGAATGGTGAGTCCAGCACTGCCTGGGCAGCCTTTGCTAAGACCTGACAACATTTTGTTGAAGAAATTTTCCCCAAGATCCAACCCAAACCTGCCCTGGCCCAGCCTGAGCTGTTCCCTCTCCTCCTGTCCCTGTTCCTGGAGCAGAGCCCGACCCCCCGGCTGTCCCCTCCTGGCAGGAGCTGTGCAGAGCCACAAGGGCCCCCCTGAACCTCCTTTTCTCCAGGCTGAGCCCCCCCAGCTTCTTCTCCACCAACTTTGCTGCTCTTCCAGAGTCAGCTCTGCTCCTCTGCCTTTGGGATGCTGCCCTGAGGCACCACAGTGACTCTGCTGAGGAGTCTGTCAGTCTGTCCCATCCAGTCCCATCCCCTCCTGGCCCTCTGCTCATGGAGCTGCTCGTGTGGAACCTTGGGAACCACCTGAGCAGGGAGGCAGGAGCCAAGAGGAAGCTGCTGATGGGACCCTGCCAGGGTTGAGGTGGGACAGGAAGGATGGGAACCACAGCTGAGCAGGGGAAGGGAAAAGCTGAGGTCTTGGAGGCTGTGCCCATTCCTGTGCCACAGGCCAGCAGCCAGGTTATCAGGGTGCAGGTGAGTGGAAGAGTTACTGCTCTGGAACCTATAACAAGTAGGAAGAAGGACTTTTTATACAGACAGATAGTGGGAGGATAGGGAGAATGGTTTTACAGTGCCAGAGGACAGGGTTAGATTAGATTTTAAGGAAGAAAGTCTTTACTCAGAGGATGGTGAAGCCTTGGCACAGGGTGCCCAGAGAGGCTGTGGCTGACCCATCCCTAGAAGTGTCCAAAGCTAGGTTGGAAGAGTCTTGGAGTAACCTGGGATAGTGGAAGGTGTTCCTGCCCATGGCAGGGGGTGGAACAAAGTGATCTTTAAAGTCCTTTCCAACTCAAACCATTCCATGATTCTGTGATAGTCTCCTTTTTCTTTATGTTCTGATAGAAAATACCTGTTTTTTGACCTTTACTGAAAAAATACAAACTGTGAGCAGTTTATTAGATGTGTTCTGATGAGCACTTGGTTGTGTGAAGCATTTGAGCATCAGCAGTGGGAAACAGGCAGAGCAACACAGAGCAATAGTGTGGGAAGAATGCTGAGAGTCTGATGGTCCAAACTCTGTGTATCCTGCAGCTTTATTAATCCTATCCTCATTTAGCTAATGGAGGAATTAAAATTAAATTAGATGGAAAATGCATCTGTTTCTATTTTCAGTAATGTTTAGAATATTTAAAACCAAGTCAACTCTCTTTAATGTGAAGTGACACACTTATGTTAATATAAGCATTCAATAGTGGTGTTGTTTGAAATACCAGGCTAAGTGGCTTTTAAGATATGAGATTCTGAGGTTAATTTTTCATGTCTCCCTGCAAAAAAGTGGTGCTTTGATGCACAAACTCTTTGAAAATCTCGAGATTAATGTTTGATACTGAAAAAAAAAAAATAAAACTAAAGTATGTCAGGTTGTGAGGCCTGAATTTCAGGGAGAGCCTGTCTGTTCCTGCTTAGTCAGCTCAGGATCTTGGCTGTTCATGCCCTGGAATGAGACAGTTTAGTTCCACTGTTATGGCAGAAAATAAAACAACAGGTCACTAACACATCAAATACAATGAAGTTTTGAGTGTGGGGGAGCTCCGGTGATTTTTCTTTGTTGCATTTTCCTTTGCTGCAGCCACTCCAACCTGCTGTACATGGCCACCCAGATTGCCTCGGGGATGAAGTACTTGGCATCCCTGAACTTCGTGCACAGGGACCTGGCAACTCGCAACTGCCTGGTGGGCAACAACTACACCATCAAGATTGCAGACTTTGGCATGAGCAGGAACCTTTACAGTGGGGATTACTACAGGATCCAGGGCAGAGCTGTGCTGCCCATCCGTTGGATGGCCTGGGAGAGCATCCTGCTGGTAGGCACTGCACAAAGCTTCTTTTTCTTCTTGCTCTGATCTTCGCTGTGCCCCTGAAGCAGTGACACAGCTGTGTGCCAGGCAGTCACCACCAGTATCTGTGCTGCACATGGCCCCTGCTGAGAGATCCACAGGGTTGTGCTGGACATAACTCAGATCCTGGGAGAGGAGCCTGGCCTTGGAAATACAGAATGTCATGGAATGGTTTGGGCTGGAAAGACCTTAAAGCCCATCCAGTGCCACCCCCTGCCATGGCAGGGACACCTCCCACTGTCCCAGGCTGCTCCCAGCCCTGTCCAGCCTGGCCTTGGGCACTGCCAGGGATCCAGGGGCAGCCACAGCTGCTCTGGGCACCCTTCACAGGGAAGAATTCCTTCCAGTATCCCATCCATCCCTGCCCTCTAGCAGGGGGAAGCCATTCCCTGTGTCCTGCTCCTCCAGGCCCTTGGACAGTCTCTCTCCATCTTTCCTGTCAGCCCCTTCAGGCTCTGCAAGGCCACTGAGCTCACCCCAAACTTCTCCTCTCCAGGTGAACAACCCCAGCTGTGCCAGCCTTCCCTCCCAGCAGAGCTGCTCCATCCCTCTGCTCCCCCTGGCCCTGCTCTGGGTCTCTGCAGCAGCTCCAGCTCCTCCCTGTGCTGGGCAGGGCTGGGGCAGCTCTGCAGGTGGGGTCT